GGGGGGGGGGGGGGAGCCATCGGGGGCCGTTGAGGATGTGTGGGGGTGGCGAGCGCCCTTGGGGCTGTGTCGTGGTACACCAGCCCCACAGCGTCCCAGGCGGCGGCATGGCCTGCTGCACGTCAACCCTAGCCTGCTTGTTGTACGCACCTGTCTGCCGCGTTGATGAGCTCCAGCAGCGTCTTGGGCTGCTGGGGCCGTGACGCTGTCGCCACGACGTCCTCCCCTCCTGCCTCGCCTGCACGTTCCTGCTGCTGCTGCTGCTGCTGCTCCTGCTCCTGCCCCTGATCCTGCTGCTCCTGCCCCTGCGCAACAGCTGACGGCGAGTCCGTCCGCCCATCCGCGCTGCCCGCCGTCGCCTCTGCCGCTGGCGGCTCATCGCCAGCCGCTCCTCCCGCCCCTGGCCCGTCCGCGCCGTGCAGCAGCTGCGTGCGCGCCGCATCGACCAGGATACGCAGGATGGTGGTGTAGCCACCCGCCGCGGCGTCGTGCAGCACAGAGGTGCCATCCTCCGGGTTGAGGGCGTCCGCGCGCGCGCCCGCTGCCAGGAGCAGCTCCACGCACGCCTCACTGCCGTACAGCGCAGCGGTGTGCCTGCGGTCGCGGACGTGGAGGCCGTGCGCTGGGGTCGTGCGGGGGGCGCGGCGCAGCAGAGGCGAACGACGCGCATGCACGCATCGATGCCTGCAGCCCCAAACGGTTGGCGCGAATGTGTGTTTGGGATGATGCAAATTCATGTGCAGGGCGGTTGCCGCATAAACAATCGGGGCCGTCTTTGCTGCACAGCGGAGGTGCCTGCGGGTGTGACTGGTCATAGGGGACACACAAGAACCAGCCACCCCTTGTCCCAACCACGACTGCGGCATCCCCCCCTGCCTGCACCCGTCCCCCTCACAGCGGTGTGTCGCCGTCTGGGCCGATGGCGTTGACGCCCCATCCGCTGCCCTTGAGCTTCTCCAGCAGCGGCGCCAGCTCGTCCGGGGAGTCGTTCTCGCAGGCTTCAAAAATGCTGCTCAGCAGGCCGCCACTGGGGTCATCCCACTCCTCGTACTGGGATAACAGGTGTGTGCCAAGGCCAAGAGCAAGGGTGTCTGTTGACACGTCGATGCAGCGCGTGCTGCGCCGTGCCATTTGCCACTTCAATGCCTTGAGTGTCTCAGCATCAGATGGCGCTGCGAATGGCCAACACAAACCCGGCATTTGCAAAGGCAGCGGGCCAGCACGAAAGGCGAAGTGCGAAGAGCACAGCGCCGCCGCAGAAAACCCCCGCCAAGGCCACACGGGTCACACCTCGTCCTCAAATTCGTCTTCAAGAGCCACAGCACCCAGCTGCCTGCCCAGCTCAGCCAGCTGCTCCTGCAGCCAGGCGTAGTCGACGCCAAGGTCCCCGGCACCACCACCAACCCCGACGGCGCCAGACTGCTGCGGCGCGCCGCCAGCACCGCCTGAACCGTCAGGACGCTCTGCCATCTGCGTTGACAGGAAGTGGGCGAATGTGCAAGGCAGCCCCTGCTATTGGCCCAAGTTGCGGTGAAGTGGTCCGGTGGTGGGAGCGTGCCGCGATCTACCCGTTCTGAGAGTATGTCAGCGTGAAGACACGATCGCGTGCCATGTATGTGCGGTGCCTGAACACGCTTGGGAGCCGGGCGGAATACAGGACGACAGGAAGCTACTTGCAAGCTCCCTGGCCAGGCCTGTGAGCAAACAGCCGAAAAATTAGGAACCAGACGTTCCTAAATTTGGCGTTCAAAACTATGTCAGGTGAATATTTGGTCGGCGGACGAAGCTGCACACCGATGACCACTTTCTCGGCAAGGTTAGGACTGATCATGATGCCCAATCACTGGTGGTGCAATGCTGGAAGACTGCAGTCAGTTTTATGTGACTCATCTGCACCTTCTCGCCTTCACCAGCCACCCTTAACCAACAGGCACCAACGTTGTGGCTCTGTTACCTCAGAGACTGCCCACACCTGGGATTGGATTGGGGTCGCCAGGGATTGGTCCCACTTTTGCGCAGAATTGCTCTTTATATGACACTTCGGATTTAATTTCGCTAGGATTCGCGTGACTGGTTTCCGGCAAATGCGGAACGCAAGTGCCCACACCAGTGGATTCGCGAGTGGAAGTCGTTCATATCGTGCAACCCTCGGGGCCACATGGCTCTATATATCATTTATATCACTGATTGATGTCAGGCGGGGCCCAGCAGGGCAGATCATAGCGATCATGGTGGACCTCGAGGAGAGCCTGCTGCTGCTATTGTCACGCCGAACGCGCATCATATGCTTATAACTATTGCTTACAATGCTTTTACGCATTAAAGAAGCAGAGTGCGGCCTCGAATGCCCAGACGTATGGCTTCGCGCCCCGGGTTGCTAGTCGTGACCTTTAGCATCTAAAACTGCGATACATCAATTATAACATTTTTTGCACCAGTGGCTGTACCAGGAAAGCCACGAAATACGCACCCGGATTCGCGGCCAATCCAGTCCCCAGGGGGTGGATTGGCGTTCGTGCTGGATTCGTGGCCAACTTTGCCGTGCGGCATCCGAACGCGCCCACACGCACAGATTGGCTTAGATTCGATATATAACATTTTTCAAAATATTGCAGGGCAGCCAATCCTTTGCTGCACAGACCGGATTGGACCCCCCAATCCTCTAGTGTGGGCAGTCTCTCACCGTCTCCAGGATCTCCCCTGCACAAGCACGAGCACGCACCGTGCATTTGCGCCCTTTGCCGCTTTTTTCTGTAACCCGAGCTCAAGCCCCTTCTGCCGCTCTGATCAACTCGCCGTCGCGCTCAGGTGCTTTTGTGATACGAGTCCCGGTGGAATGGGTACGGGGAGGGATACCCCACTCGCTTTGTGCACTCCGCTGCTTGCCGCACACCTGCTCCTTTGATCCCCGGTGAGACGGTGACGGCCGACTACGACTCCAAGGTAGTTGAGGTATACTTCTATTTATGTCATTCGCTCAAAGCGAATGTGCGAGCATCACCCCAGCCCACGCAACGTGCCATCCCAGTGTCACCAGGCACGTCATCGCAAGAAATACACAGGGGATAGCTTCGATTGTTGGTCGACATCAACTGTGTCTGTCGCATGACTAACCTCCCCGATGATAAACCAGCGTTCATTGATATGTGCAACAAGCGATCCTGAGACGACGCCGAAAGGTTTCACACATCATCCACGTGTAATCAATGGAGACGGTCACTTGCTCATGTCACCTCATGAAGCCGGCCTTGGAGACAAGCTGCTTGTGTTGATGTGATGGCGTACACACATAATACTTAGATACAAGTGTGCTTTGGAATGTCATTCCCTCAAGATTTTTCCTGGCAGGGCTCAATCCGTGCTTTTGGGAGCCCGCAAATGATAGTGATGGCTCTAATTGGATGGGGTGTGCTGTGATCACGTGCACGCGAGTGGAGGCTGGCATACACTGCAGCCGTGCTGGTCAGCCCTGTAGCAACAAGAGTGTGGTTTCAGAACTGTTTAAACCTCAGGTCAGCCCTGCTAGGAAACCTCTATGATGGCATTCCGTTCCGTCCCAAGCGCCCCTGGCCCATGCACTCGCAGCGCACTCGTAATTGGATGAGTAGGATCACTGATCAGGCGAGTGGGTCGGGGTTATTGGTTGGACGGAATTCAGGGTCGGAGGAGTTCTTTGAGCTGTCATTGGCGATTTCTGTGGTTGCAAAGCTAGAAATGCACAAAGCCGCGGGCAGCAACGCTTCACAGAGCACGACGGTACGGACCAAGCGCAGCACGCAATATGGACATAAGATAAGCAGCTGCTGATCAAGCACATGTATCAACTAAACTCTAGTGCAGTGCAGGCCAGGCACAGGCCACCTGCAGGCCAGTCAGTTGGTTGCCTGCGCCCATGCGTGCGTGCATTGCCAGCGGTGAAGTGCCGCGAAGACGTTAACACGAAAAACATGCCAGCCAATGTGCCCTGCGATCGTGTTGTCGATGACGCCAGCAGGTATGCAACGGCCTGCTGTTGGCACCAGGCAAGCGGCCGCACTGTGGGTGGGTGGGGGGGGGGGAGGGAGTGAACCTCACCCCTGCTGACCCTCATCTGGTCAACCCGTGGCGCCTCTTCTTCGCAGGTGCTCGCCCAAGGCCCTGATGATCGCATGCGGTACACGCACTGCGCCGGACCACATCTGTTTGTTTACCGGTATTGCTCTGTGCACTCGGTGTTTTTGGGCGCGTGATCTAGCGCAAGGCTTGGCCAGACAGTCGTAATAGGTGTGTGTATCTGTGCACATATCAGATACAGGTGTCAGCTGGGCCCGTGGCTGGCGCTTCGAACAGCAGGGACACAAACACGCCAGAGGCGAGTGCCCTCTGCGTGTTCAAGAAGGGAAATCGTGTCGTAATGCATGCCAGATGCAAGGATTGAGTGCGAGCACTGCAGCGACTAGCACTATTCGAAGCCGCGCGTGAAGCGCGTGCAGCGCGTGCACGAGGAGCGACGCAGCAGCACGGGCTCGGTGGCCGCCCTAGCGAAGACAGCCACTCACCACATCTTTTGTGTCTCACTGCGCAGGGCTTCCTGAAGCGGCCGCTATGACGGCGATCAGGCGGTCGGAGAAGGGCGCAGACTCCGAGAAGGCTGCGGGCTCTGGCCCTGAGGGCGCCACTCCACCGCCACTCGCCCAGACTGGCAGTGGAAAGGTGAGCGAGCGCGCACACGCAAGTGCTTTGCTTCACATGCAATTCGCGGGGGACAGAGACGGCAAGCACCTGGCAAAAGTGCAAACGCATGTGCAAGGTTGCGGCCGTCCCAGCTCGCAGCCTCTGCACCCCTTTGGGATGGACACGTGTCACGTGTCCATCCCAAATGCCTGTTCTGCTCCTTCCCACCCCCTAGGGCGTCGGCAAGGGCAAGCGCGTGCGTCTTGCGCCCTCTGAGGGTGACCTCCAGGCTGTGGCAGCTGCGGGGTCTGCCCCCATGGCGCTGGACGCGCCGATGCCCATGGCGGTGGACCCCATGGCGTTGCCCAGCACATCGGGGCGGGTGCCCATCCCCGAGGCGGATGTGAAGCTGCCGCTTGAGCTCAACACACGGGTGAGGTGGCAATATCGGATGTCTGCTTTGAGCGGGGAGTGATGCTGGTTCAGGGCATGGAGACTCAGGGCGCGCCGCTGTGCCGCGGCACAGCTGGCTGTTTATGCAGCCACCACCATTCCGTGTTGCAACTTCGGTTCGGGTCCGTGCCCCCCAAACACCTCACCTCCATATTGGACTCTCTCCATTGTTGCCCGCCCCTACGCCGACCTTGCCACGCAGGTCAGTTGCAAGTGGACTGATGGCAACTACTATGGCTGCCGCATCCTGGAGCGGCGGCGCACCCCCGGGTGGGAGGGGGACCCTGACGCGCCGGGCGCGTGGGAGTACTACGTACACTACCACAGGAGTGAGCCCAGGGCTTGATGGTTTGTTGGGGTTGGGGGACAATGGAGGGGGACAGAAGGAGCAGAAACGCCCTGGGTTGGAAGGTGCACTGCGTGTGCGGTTAGCAGGGCAGGGTATGTGTGTGTGTGTGTGTGTGTGTGTGAGAGAGAGAGAGAGGGGCCATGGATTGGAGCCATCATGAGTGTGGGTGAGTGTAAGGTGGTTGTACAGGTGTTAAAAACAAACGCTGGCCGGCAGCCCCAAATGTTCACCTGACGTTTTGATGGCAAGGGGCTTGCTGTGGCCCACGGACCATAGCTCTAGCATCTTGTCAAGTCTGGATGTCAGCTGTGTCGCCTGATGATGCCACCTCACCATTCCACATCTCAGGCTGCCGTCACCTTTGCCGCCACCCGCTCCTCTGCAGTGAACCGGCGCATGGATGACTGGGTGTCGACCGCGGACTTTGACCTGGCGACGGTGGAGCCTGAGGTTGTGGAGGTGGGTGGGGGCTGCCTGGAAAATGGCTTTCGTGTGGTAGGCCGTCGGGCTTGCATTGCTGAGTGCATCTGGCTACGTACGTGCGCGTGTGTGTGAGCGTGCGTATGCGTGGGGGTGCACGCGCGTACGTGTGCATGTGCGCGCATGCTTGTATGTGTGTGAACGAGGTTGTGTAAACGATCATGTGCGTTTGTGTGTGTTGATGCCTGCTTTTCAGTGCGTGTGTGCGTGAGTGCGTGGGCGCTCGTGTCCATTCTTGCCGGGGCTTGCACATGCATGCACAAGATGCCACCCTTTCCACCAGAATTTCACGTCCGGCCTTCATGCTGCCAACATTGCTGCTTGGAGAAATGCGGAGGCTCGACAGCATCGTGTGCACGCGCCCCTCCGCAAGCTCTATGCCTTGCATGCGTCCCACCCCTGCCGCGGCGTCGCCGCTCCCCCTTCCTCTGCAATCCAGCTGGGCCCTGACGGCAAGCCCAAGAAGAAGTCCCGGGTGGAGGAGCACTCCTCGGACGAGGAGCACGGGGACTTTGACCCGCAGCAGCTGAGGGAGCACGAGGAGTTCACAAAGGTGGGAAAGGAGGAGGGAGGAGGGGCCACTGGGGCCCGGGTTGGTGTGGATCTCACGTTGCATCTCTGGCATCGACACCCCATTTCTCTTTTTCTGAGGCCCACCCGAGCGGGGATACTTGAATTGAAAGCCTGTGCACACCTCCAGCGGAATGCATCCCCCGAGGCTCACAGCTCCTAGGAACCCTCAATCCCTGACTCCGTGGCCCTCCTTTCCCCGCCACCCTGCTCCAGGTGAAAAATATTGACGTCATCCAGCTGGGGCCGCACGAGATGCACACGTGGTACTTCAGCCCCTTCCCGCCAGAGTACAACGGCTGCAAGAAGCTCTACTTCTGCGAGTACAGGTGGGGGGAGGGGGGGGGTTGAGTCGGGGGAGCAGGGGGGCAACGGGGTGGCGGGTTTGAGGGACCAGGCACGGGTACGCGGGATGGCAGCAGGGTCATGCAGCTGGGCCTTTACCGCACGATTTGCTTGCACACCGGGCCACAGCGGCTGGTCTCAGCTTCCTACCTCCCCACGCTCTCTCCTGCGTCCCATGCTCCCTCCTCTTTCCCCCATCAAAACCTCAGCCTGCACTTCTTCAAGCGCCGCTCTCAGCTGCTGCGGCACCTGACTAAGTGCAAGGTGCGGCACCCCCCAGGGGAGGAGATCTACAGGAAAGACAACATATCTTTCTTTGAGGTGGGTGTGTGCGTGCGTGCGCCCTTGCGCGTGTGCGTGCGTGCATGTGTGTGTCCGCATGCGTGCGTGTGTGTGTGTGTGTGTGTGTGTGTGTGTGTGTGTGTGTGTGCGCGCGCATGCGCGTGTGGGTGGGGGGGGGTTGGCATGGAGCAAGGTTTGCGGCGCGATTCGCGCGTGCCAAGGGCTATCTTGTAGGCGTGGACGAGTTTGAGGATGTATGAAAGGGGATCCCTCCCATGGCGCTTACGGAATATCGCCCTTCCCATGGTGGCCACCCTTCCTCTCTTGTCCTCCCTGCCTACAACTGGCGCGCGCATCCGGCCGCACCAACACCTGCAGATCGACGGCCGCAAGGAGAAGCAGTTCTGCCAGAACCTGTGCTACCTGGCCAAGCTGTTCCTGGACCACAAGACGCTCTACTACGACGTCGACCTCTTCCTGTTCTACGTGCTCTGCGAGGTGCGAGTGGGCAGGGGTGGAGGTGCCGCAGGTGTGTGAAGCTCAGCTCGTGCCTTGGTTTGCGGGTCTCAGTGATATGTATGGAGGGGGGCTATGATCACAAGTGATTGTCTGTGTGTTTAGGGGATGCGTGGATGTGACATGAGTTTTGCCAGTGCTGTGGATGCGTGGATGTGACTGTGATGTGTGCGGTCAGAAGTGAATTAGGGCTGGCATGCACCCATGTTGAGTGTCTTGACATCTGTAGGTGCGTTGGTGTGTGGCGGATTTCGCATGGGTACCTGGATCCTCAGGAGCGTTTGTCCATGGCGATCCGCTCAGGACAGCTGACAGACACTCTCAGGAGCACTCTCTTGGCAGCACCTTAAGCACGCCGTCCCTCCCTCCCACCCAATACAACCCCGGCTGCCCACCCAAGACGGACTCCCGTGGCGCGCACATCGTGGGGTACTTCTCCAAGGAGAAGGCGTCAGAGGAGGGCTACAACCTGGCCTGCATCCTGGCGCTGCCGGCGTACCAGCGCAAGGGCTACGGGAAGCTGCTCATCTCATTCAGCTACGAGCTCTCAAAGCTCGAGGGCAAGGTGAGGCTGGCCGCTCACAGGAGCCCTGGGGCTCACTGAGGTCAAAGGTCGGAGGCCAGGTGCAGCTGGTTTCGGGCGGCCAGCGTGCATGCATCAGGCCTGTGCAGCTGGCCCGCAAGTACGCCGCGCATGCACGTTCCACAAGCTGGAACTCGAACTGCCTTCAACTCCAGGTGGGTACCCCAGAGCGGCCGCTGAGCGACCTGGGGCTGGTGTCATACCGCGGCTACTGGACGCGGCAGCTGCTGCCGCTGCTGATGGTACGGGAGGGGAGCGTCAGCATCAAGGAGCTCAGCGAGGCCACACGCATTCGCCCAGATGACATCATCACCACGCTCACACACCTAAACCTCATACAGTACCAAAAGGTACATGCGGGGGGGGGGGGAGGAGGGGGATGAGAGTTAGGGATCAGGATTGAGAGCCCCTTGTGGGGTGGCTGAGGGCTGGGAGAAAATGCTCTGCCGCCTGCCCACGGCTTTGCCCTGCCGTGCACTGTTGACCGCCTGGCAACGCGTCAAACAAACGCGGCTCTGGTGGCCCTCTGGAAAGTATTGTGCTGCGCGGTTGCACCGCGTGCTCGGCTGTGCAGGGGCGGGCCCCTCAGGGTCACACCGTGCGTGGCCACCGACAACAACTCCCTGCTGCGCCATGCGCCTGTGCAGGGCCAGCACGTCATCTGCGCGCCGCCCGACCTGCTGAAGCGGCTGCTGGCTGAGGCGGGCAACCCCGGCCACGAGGTGGACCCCTCCAAGATCGTGTGGTCAAAGTACCAGGCAGAGAAGGAGCTGGAGAAGTACCGGCCATGAGCGATCGCTGGCCGCATGTGGCGGCCCTCACCAGCCGCGGCACACATGTAACTCATCTTCACAGACAACATGCCACACCGCGCTGTGGCCTAGCGGCACAACGTCATGTGTCAGGGGCCGGAACTGGTCGGAATCAATGGTCAACGCCAACGAGCGCGTGCACAGCCTTGTGTTTGACTCGGCACCCTGGAGTGCGCCAACCAGCAGCCAGGCAATGGAACATGAAGTTGGCAAAAAGATTTATTTTTCACAAAAAGATGTGGAAACGACGCTTGCGCGGCGACCCGCCTGACAACCGCTGCGATCAAGCGCAGCTGAGCTCAAGCTGTTACGGCATGAGCCGGGCCGCGGCTACCCACTGCGGGCGGTGCGAAAGGCCTTGTCAGCCGTTTTTGGAGCTTGATTGAGCTGAGCTAATCGCAAAATTTGCTATCGTAGCTGCGATACTTTCAGGAACACCCCTACCCGCACATTGAGCTCGGCAGCTGGGCAGCACTCATCAGTTTTCAGCCCGGCGCTCAGCCCTTTGCCCCTATCCAATCGTCTATTGCACGAGCTAATTCAGTTTATCGGTGATAACATACGTGAATAGTTCCCTTGCCGGGCTTGGTGTGCCGTTTGCGCGTAAAGCAGCAACACCAACGAGATCGGGCCCGGTACCCGAGGAGCGCCTAGGGAACTATATGGAACTTTCAAGCAGTCATCATGGCACGGCGGTCAGCAGGCAAGCCATGCTCCTGCAGCTGTGCAACACCATCCGGGCCCTGCTGCTGCACAGACGGGTTATTGTCCCTTGACGGTGTTATATATGCGATTAAAGTGTCTTGTAAGCACCCTCTGTTTTTCCCCCTGATATCCCACCAGCTGCTGACCAAGTTGCAAAGCTCGGGGACCCGGGCCGAGCGCTCTCCGAAGCTCGGACATAACAGGAGGTGAAAACGAACAGTGAGACGTCCGTGTTGACTTGAGTGGGGCTGCCGGCCTGCTGGTGCGACGGCACGCGGATGGCCGTTCCCGCAGCCGAGACTGTCGCGCGCATGCTGTGCCCGGCCTCGGGCCTCTTGCGTTGTGTGCTTTTTGCCAGCGGCATGCCTCTTTTGAGGCCCAGCAGTGGTACCTGCGCATTTGGCCCCGCCATGCTGCAATCTGCACACCAAGCTCTTGCTGACGCCACCCGCACTTTAAAAATCCCACAGGCACGGTCCCAGTGACCTTGCACTTCTGCGCAGTTGTGGGGAGCGTGGCGCCGCTTGGCTCTGCGCGTCTTGGCCGGTCTTGAAATACCCAGCGGCGGCGGCAGCAGCAGCAGCAGCAGCAGCAGCCGCAGCAGCAGCAGACACTTGTACTCAGCGTAGGCCGTCAGCAGCAGGGCCACCTTGCAGAGCAGCAGTGCAGCCGGCAGGAGGCTCCAGCAGCACCCCCGACAGGGTCCTACAGGTGGGCTCCGCTATAAGTTTATGCTGAAGTGCTGTCCAGACCACATCAACAGCATCCTTGGTGCAGGGGTGGTCACTGGGTGGGGCTGTGCACTGCTTTGCGAGGTATTTTTGCTGCGAGCCAACCCGCCCGTTCTCTTCAAACATGGAGCTGAGCCATTGCATTTCCTTGAACGCAGGGCACACTGCTGGCAATGGCAGCCGTGGCACCCCCACCAGCTGCGGCGGCGGCTCCGGCTGCCGCGCAGCGCCCGCCGGCCCCCGCACACAAGAGCACCGCCATCATCCCCGGGTGGTCGCGGCCGCTGTCCAGCCAAGCGCTGACGATTGAGTGCCAGAAGATCACGCAGCCCAGCCGCAGCGCCGCCCCAAAGGAATGCTACGGCGTGATGGAGCTGGAGGTCATGAAGTTTGTGGCCTACTGCGGCGGCCTCACCATCAAGCTGCGCGTGGACGACCTGCAGCACGGTCCTGTCGACAGGTGACAGGGGGGGTGGAGGGGGCCGGGATGTCCTGGTGGCGGGATTGGAAGCGGGGCGTTAGACGTGACGGGGCACGCCTGAGACGGGGAGCAGGGCAGCCCTGCGTTTTAGCATGTGCAGTAAGCGTGGGGCGTCTTGTGCACGAGGCAGCTGGCGCTGCGCACCTTGCTTATCTTTGTGGCCTGGACTGAGCATATGGGCTGGCTGCCGGTGTGTTGGCATAGGCCTGCGCGTGGCAACCGTAGGCTGCCCGCTGTGCACTCCTTCATCGATTTGCGCTCTTGACACCCTCACGAATCACAGTGTGACCTGGGGATTGGCAGCCCTGCGGGCTTGTCCTGCGCTGGCCAACGTCAACGTTGTGATGGGCGCCAGCAGCCCGGCACGCGCGGCTGCCGGCGGCCGCGCCGGCAGCAGCAGCCCGATGCCAGGCGCGCCGCCAGGCGCTGGCAGCAGCGGCGGCGGCGGCGGCGGCGGCGTGGGCCCCAACAAGGCCAACCCCGTGACAGCCATGAGTGTGGACAACCCATCGCGCAAGGCGCTGTTTGCGATCTGCGCGACGGCGTGCGTGGCGCGGCCGGCGCGCGGCGACATCCTGTCGATGGACCTGTCCCCCAAGGAGGACGGCCAGCCGGTCATCATGGTGACCCTCGCGCACAACGACACGCTGCTGATGCGCGCGGCGCTGCCGTGCGCGAGCATCGCCGCGCTGCAGATGTACCCCTTCATCACGGCGCAGCCTGGCATGGTCGTGTCGCTGCACGAGGCGCTCACGCCCAGCCCGCTGTTCACGTGGTACTCGCCCACCAGCGCCACCGCCGACATCCAGATGGCGGACCTGGACACCTGCGTCAAGTACAACACCACCGCGGCCACCAACGCGGCCGGCGTCGGCGAGTTCCACGGGTCCACAACCTTCACAGGCGGCCGCCACCGCTGGACGGTGCAGCTGGACAACATGGGGCCGCACCCAGGCCACGTGTTTGTGGGCCTCGTGCACGCCGAGCAGAGCCAGGCGCCCAGCAGCAGCATCCTCGCCGCGTCACTGCCGCAGGCGCTGGCGGGCCGCGCCCTGGGCGCGGCGCAGCAGCAGCAGGCGCCAGGCGCTGCGGCGCCCGGCGCCGTGGCCCCCGATGCAGTGGCCGCGTCGCCTGGCGCACCAGTTGCTGCGGCGGCAGTGGCAGCGGGGGCGGCGGCAGTAGCTGGCAGCAGCAGTGCCATGGCAGTAGCGGCGGGCGGTCTTCTGGCTCCTCCGGCAGCGCCGCGCGGAAAGTGGGGCGTGTGGGTGAAGCTGCCCGGCAACAACCCAACTGCCCCCGGGGGTGCGGCGACGCCGCCGCTCGACGGCTGCGTGCAGACTGTAGAGAGCAGCAGCAACCACTGCTGCATCACGGTGGACCTGGACCTCATCGGCGGCTACGCCAAGTTCTTCCGCAACGGCCACCTGCTTGGCAGCGCGTTCACTGGGCTGGTGGCGCCCATCTCGCCCGCGCTGGCCTTCCTGCAGGGCGCCAACCAGCACCTGCAGGCGGGGCTGGTCAACATCACCAAGCTGCAGCAGCTTGACCTGGAGTGGAACGCGGAGGCGTGCAGCGGCGACCTGCGCATTAGCGGGCGCTCGGTGCAGAAGGTGTCTGAGGTGTTTGGCGACTACTCCACGGTGCTGGCCAACCAGGGCTTCATCTCGGGGGTGCACCTGTGGCTGGTCAAGGTCAACCACCTCAGCGAGCCGGACAGCATCTTCATCGGCGTCTGCAGGGGGTGCATGCCGCTGGACCAGGACCCGCAGGTGGATGCCCGCGTGTTTGCCCCCCGGGGTTTGCTGGTGTGATATTTTGCCTCCAGTGGCATTGCTCAGGGGTGTGGATATTGGCAACAACGTTGATTATTTCGGCCTTCTAGGCAGGCATGCTTGGGCAGCGGCTGCGATGGTTGCTTGGATGCCATGATGGCGCACTGATGAGCCGCAGGTGCTGATTGCCCTGCTGCCAGACGAGCCCTCTCATTGAGGGTGCTCTCTAACAGTGCCTGTGTACCCCTGCCAACCCCGCCGCCTGCATCCATGCCGCACTGCCCCCAGGACCTGCGTGACCGCACCTATTACCTCAGCAATGGTGTCATCCGAGTGGGCGGTCGCCGCGTTGCCACAACCACCGCCAACTTCACCAAGGGTGACATCGTGGGCGTGGTGCTGGACGCAGATCAGGTAGGGTCCAGGGGGAGGGTCGGGTTTGTTGAGGGGGAGGCGCAGCCCTGGGTGCAGCTTTTCAGGTGCTGTTTCTCTGCCTGTTTCAGGCTAAAGTGAATGGCCATACTGCTGCTGTTGCTCATTCAAGAGTTGCCAAACTGCAAGTTGGGGCGCGCCCAGTACTCCAGGTGCTTTACACGTATCCTTGGGAGCTAGTGGCAGCTCTTGTCCTCCACCTGCCCCCTTTCTTGCTGTCCCTCCTGTCCTTTCCATTAGGGCGAGATCGTGTTTCTGCGCAACGGCATTGAGCAGGGCCGCGCGCGGGGCATCCGTGGACGGCTCTACCCCTTTGTGTCGATGGACAGCGAGCTGGACCAGATCACACTGCTGGGTGAGCAATTACGGGGCGGGCGTGGCTGGGCAGGTGGAATGGCATTGCGCGGCTGGCGGCACACACACCATCCTGTTACGATCGCATGTGCAAGCTGTGCTTGGAGCAGCCCCTCATGACACTTGAGGGACCCTGGCGTGCCTGGACTCTGACGCCTGCCTGACTTCCCGCCACCCCACCAGGCTCCTACACGCTGCCGCTCAACCGTACGCCGCGCACCCTGGCGGACATGGAGTGGGACACTGTGGGCCGCGGCGCTGACCTGGAGCTGTCCTCCAACTGCCTCACGGCCACCAAGAGCAGCAGCGCGGCCGCCTCCACTGTGACGGGCACCATCCTGTACGCAGACCGCGGCTGCCACGAGTTCCACGTCATCCTGGACAGCCTTGGGCCAGACGGCATCTGGGTCGGCGTCGCGGCGCCCGGCATGGACACGGCCAAGTGCGTCGGCGACGCCGGCTGCGGCTGGGCGCTGCACAGCGACGGCGATCGCCGGTTTGGCGGCCGCGAGGAGGAGTTTACGGGTGAGGCAAGCGCAGACATTGGGCTGGCTGGCACTCGGCACGGGGGCTAGCTGTGCCCGCTTCTGTCTCTTGAGGGCAAAACACGAGGTCTGCAGGGCAGGCATTGGTGCGGCAGGGTCTGCACTCTCCCACCCCTGGGATTTCTATCAACCCATTGTTTCTCATCGGCCCAACATCTGGTGCAACGCCCGACCCTGTTTCCTGCTCTGCCTCCAGGCGCCTTCAAGAACGGCGACGTGCTGACGGTGGGCATGGACCTGGCCAACGGCGTGCTGCGCTTCAGCCGCAATGGTATCCACCTGGGCAATGCGTTCACGGGCGTCACTGGGCCCCTGGTGGCGGTGGTGACTCTGGCCAGCGAGGAGAGCAAGGTGACCATCCAGAACCGCCCAACAGTGCTCAACATGGGGGAGTACACAGGTGGGGGCAGGAGGCACACAGCCCCCTAGGAGCTGGGGCTGGTGTGGTCATATTTGGTGCCAACCGTCTGGGTCCTGTGCTGAGCCATGTGTCATGGGTAATGAGTGGCTCAGCCGTGCGGCCCCTCTGCCAGCAGACAGGTTTGCTTCACACTAGGCTCCAGGCCCCAACGCGTCCTGCGCCCCGTTGCGTGCCAACCCTTCACCCACACCCTTTGTGCGGCTAACCCCCCAGGCGAGCTGCGCTGGGACGAGGTGCGTGCTGGGCGCGACCTGCACGTCATCGACGGCCTCACGGTGACCAAGATGAGCAACGAGGGCGGCGACTACGCCACCGTGCTGGGCACGCTGTGCGTCGCGAGCGGGCAGCACAGCTGGAACGTGTACGTGAACCACGTGGAGGACAGCAACCTCTTCATCGGCGTCACAGTGGGCGGCCACGACCTCAACGCGGACCCCCAGGAGATGAAGAGCCGCACCTACTACCTCTCCAACGGCACCATCCGCGTTGCAGGTGCGCGCCAGCTGGGTTAGCAGGGCAGGCGGGATGTCGAGACGGGTGTTGAGCGACGGGCTCTTTATAGCGCAAGCCACAGGGAGGCTCTCGCGCGCAGAGCTTCCGACCCTGACCGTGGGTTCAGCAGCCCTGCCTCTAACCCACCATGCTCCGTCGCCCTCTTCACCCAACCCAACCATCAGGCAAGCTGGTCACGCGCTGTGCGGAGCCCTACGCGGAGGGCGACCTGGTGACAGTGCAGCTGGACATGGACGCTGCATCGCGCCACATCGCATTCTATAAGAATGGCGTGCTGCAGGGCGCGGGGGACGGCCTGCCCGGTGAGCGGCTGCCAGAAAGCGTAGCGTTTGGGCCCGATGCCAGTCCCGCTGGCGCTGATTAGAACCCTGTCCTGATGCCTTACGGGTGGATTCGTTTCGACTGACGGATTGCCAAACGCCGTGTGCTGCTTGTGCATGTGAGCCCTCGCCCCCCACCCCGCCCCCCAAACCCTGGGTGTCTGACTCCTGACCACCTTTCCGCCCTCCCCCCTCCCCCCACCCGTCAGAGGAGCTGTGGCCCTATGTGTCCCTGGAC